CGCGTCGGAGGTCGATGCCGAGAGGCTGGAGCCGAGAGTGGAGGAGAAGGGCGGGTACTTCGTGCTGAAGGAGAAGTTCAGGCAGGGGATAAACCCTCAGGAGAAGTTGAAGATCGAGAATGAGCCGATGAAATTGTTCATGGAGAATGGAATTGAGGAGCTCTCGAAAATCCCGCTCGAGGAGATCGAGCAGTCGAAGCTCAGCAAGGACGATATTGACGTCAGGCTCAAATGGCTCGGCCTCTTTCACAGGAGAAAGCATCAGTGTGAGTTTTCTTTTATCAAATCTCGACGAACTTAGCCAATTCTGTTTGAAATCGAATGATTGATTTGTGGGTGAACAAATTTTTGCTTATTTTTAATGGTGAAGTGAAATAGTTCAGGAAATTGATCTGAACAATTTGTTTTTATTCTTCTTCGAAGAATAAATTGAAATTGAAAAAAAAAAAAAGTACGGGGATGATGATAAAGTTATGTTGTTCCTGATATCAGATGGCCGGTTCATGATGAGGCTGAAGCTCCCGAACGGCATCACAACAAGCGCCCAAACCCGATACTTAGCCAGCATCATCCGGAAGTACGGCAAAGATGGCTGTGCTGACATCACCACCCGGCAAAACTGGCAGATTCGTGGCGTGGTCTTGCCTGACGTGCCCGAGATTCTAAACGGGCTCGAGAAAGTCGGGCTCACGAGCTTACAGAGTGGAATGGACAATGTAAGAAACCCGGTTGGGAACCCGCTTGCAGGTATCGACCCGCACGAGATAATCGACACGAGGCCATACAACAATTTGCTGTCTCAGTACATAACAGCAAATTCGCGCGGCAATCCTGCTTTTACTAACTTGTAAAAAAAAATCCTTATTCTGTTTTCTTGTTCGTTTTAATTCGATGGCTGCATTTTTTGTTTATTTTTGGTGAAATTTCTTATGGTTTGTGCACAGGCCAAGAAAGTGGAATGTGTGTGTGATAGGTTCGCACGATCTTTACGAACATCCCCACATCAATGATCTTGCTTACATGCCGGCAATGAAAAACGGGCGGTTCGGATTT